GAATTGTTTATCTGTCCTGACGCCATTCCGGGGTAAAAGTGAGCGATGCTATCGCGCCAATCCGGCGCCGATCACCGGCACCAAATGCTGCAATTGGTCCAGTATGGATTTGATAGCTTAATCTCGCGGGTCCATTTGATTATAGTTCGCAGCACCAGTGCGTTAGACTCGCACCACCACGTCAGATTCACCCGCAGACCGGCTGAGCATTACGCTTGGCCGCCGATAAGCCCTGGAAGCCCCTCTCCTGGCCCGCGATGGCGCCCATTCTCTGTCCTATTCTTATCTTGAAGAAATAGAGTATCCTGTACTCCGCATTGCGGACCTGCTCTAGTCGCTGGAGACGACAGGTTCCATGGAGCTTGGGCTGAGTCGAACGAGTCCAGCTGCTGTCTTTCTTTGACCGATATGCCTCTTGCATTCCTCGCCTGCAAGGGATGAGACTGGCGCCACCTCTACGACGGTATTGATTTCACGCCACGCGAGCACAGCGTGAGGGTGCATTCATCCTTCGACGGCTGAGATGGCCGCATCCGGGTGGCTATCCCGACTGGCCGTGATGGTCATCCGTCCAACCTGGGCCAGCCCATCGAGCCGATGTAACATTCCCCAGATGCTGGAGAGTTGGCGACACGAGCGGTCTCACTTAGAGCCGATAACAGCTGTCTCCTGATTGTACCGTGGCCAAGAAAGCCATTAAATGAGTGGCACAGGCCCTGCGCCTTCTGATACCGTGTGATCGCCTATTGGATGGGCCTCACAGTGGTTATCAGTTCTTCTCGCAGGATCCACGCTCCTGCCAGTCTTCCAGAAGATTTTGCTGGCCTTGCTCGCAGCGGACAAGCCGATGGGGCAAATGTTGACACACCACCCAACACCACTTGACTGGAAGCTGCGACAAGATTCTTTATCTGCCTGCTCGCCTGCTTCCCGATAGCGAACCATAGCGAGTGGGCTGAGTATGTTTGTCTTATCTGTTGTTCCAATTTGCCCCCTGCACATCATTCATCAAATTGACTTCGGCTTCTCAGAGGCTGCAAGCCGACCTCACTAGGTTCCACGACCTCGACGGACAAGTCTTATATCAATCTTCCGTCGCCCGCCCAATCTTATACGTGGTGATTTTCTTCGCGTCTTCTTCCCCTTCTTCCCATCTCTTTGCACGTACACCCACCCTTCTCCATCGAGGTCATTCACGATGGACGACCACAGCAATGCACCTGCATACGAAACATCCAGTTCCAAGGAGAAGCATCTCGAGCCCACTGGCGACTGGGCCTCTCCTGACGTCGACCATGGCGCCGAAACCGATCTGCACCGCTCGTTGTCGACGCGGCACCTGACCATGATTGCGCTTGGCTCCTCCATCGGAATGGGATTATGGCTTGGAAGTGGAACTTCTCTAAGCAATGCTGGCCCAGCAGCGCTTCTGATTGGCTATCTCCTCAGTTGTACGATGATTTGGGCCGTCAGTCATTCGATTGGAGAGATGGCAGTCATGTATCCATTGCCGTCCGCGTTCACGCAGTGGACGTCGATCTTCATTGACCGGTCAATGGCCTTTTCCCTTGGCTGGGCATACTGGTTCTCCTACTGGATCACAATCGCCAACGAGCTGCAGGTGTGTTGCTCTTGCTGTGTTGAATACACTGTCCACTGATCATTGAATGTACAGGGCGTTGTTACTGTGCTTAGCTTCTGGACGACCAAAGTACCTACAGCGGCCTGGATCACTATTTTTTGGATTGTTATTATTGCCGTCAACGTTGTCGCCGTGAGATTCTTCGGAGAGGTCGAAGTTACAGCCTCTACTATCAAGTTTGGCTGGATCTTTGTGGTGATCATCTCGTGCATCGGTAAGTGGTTCAAGTTCCTCTGTGGCACAGCACAATATCCTGTTCCGGGGCTCACTTCCTTAGTCATTTCGGCCGGTGGCGCTCCTGCTGAGGGTCCGATCGGGTTCCGGTACTGGAACTCCTCGCCGTTCATCAACGGGTTCAAAGGATTCTTGTCCATTATGCCTACGTGTATCTTTGCAATGAGGTACTTGACCCCTATTATCTGGCTATACTTCAGGGTAGCAAGGATTGGTCTTGAAGTTTGCCCAGACTGCTACTCTTCTATACCTAGCTGACCCCTTTCCCTTAACACTCAGTGGTTCAGAAAACGCTGCTTTGGTCGCTGCTGAGACTGATAATCCACGCAAGGCTGTCCCCCGAGCTGTCGGGTCCATCTGGGTCCGTTTGTCTCTGTTCTACGTCCTGGGCTCCTTGATGATCACCATCACCGTCTCTCCGTACAACAAGGACCTCTTCGGTGGCGACGGCGTTAATGCTTCACCATTTGTTATAGCCTTCCGCAACGCTGGACTGGAACCTCTAGCTCATATCATGAACGCGGTGATCTTCATATCAGTTTTGTCGACCGGCAGTATCTCGGCCTATGGTGGCTCGCGTACTTTGATGGGCTTGACACACCTGAATATGGCTCCCAAGGTTAGTGCCTCTCATTCCTTTCCTCCTACATTGCAGCGCTAGCGACTAATATGATCATCTGCTCCGCCCGGTCAGATCTTCGGCAAGGCCGACAAGCAAGGCCGCCCGATTGCAGGAATGGCCATAACCCTCCTCATTGGAGGCGGTCTTGCCTACCTCAACGTCTCTAACTCTGGCGCCAACGTCTTCACCTGGTTCTCAAACCTGACTTCCCTCTTCACCCTTTTTGGCTGGGGCACGATATGTCTGTCGCACCTCCGCATGCGCTACGCCTGGAAGGTCCAGGGTCGATCGGTAGAGGATCTCCCCTGGAAGTCGTGGACATACCCCTACGGCGCCATCTGGGGTCTTGTTTGGTGCATCATCCTCATCATCGCGGAATTCTACCTGAGTGTATGGCCTCTCGGAGAAAGCCCCAGCGCGAAGAACTTCTTCGCCAACTACGTCTCTGTCGTGGCTATCGTGGTCCTGTACCTGGCGGCGCGATGCTACTACCGCGGGCCGTGGTGGGTGGATGCTCGCACGATTGACCTCGACGCCCCGAGACGGTTCTACGTGGATGGGCACGATGTCGAGACCAAGACAGAGCGGAAGGGGCCGACGAAGTATCTTCGTAAGGCAGTGGATGCCGTGTTTGATTAAAGAGATAGGTGGTTGTACATAATATACATTATCATAGTTGATCCGTGGAGTTATATCAACTTGCACTTCGAGTATTAGAACATGTGTTGTTCATAGAGCTAGCGTACTCATGCCACGTGGCATGAGAGGGCTTTTGCAGTAGCAGTATAAGGTTTGTGAAAGTCGAACTATTATCACCTTGTTAAAATCTTGCCAGACTTAAATTTAACGATATAAATGCTGTTTGTATTCTATTCCACCCTTTCCCTATCAATGCAGCTTACTTCTGCCATTGTATGCTCTGTATCAACTTGAAAGATAGGAGTTTACCTATGGAGAAATGTCATGCATGCTCTCAGTAGGGCGCCCGCTTTAGGAGACCATCAGGGCGGGCCCGCATCTGCCCCTTCCCGACCCATACACTCACTGCTTCTCAAACTCATATATCTCTCTTCCCAATCATAGTCTTCGTAGATGCTTGCGACCGAGCGAGCACTTCAGGATCTTGTCTGCCAACTGTCTCGGGGCTTAAGGCGCCCACAAAATAGAAGATTCATACCACTCTTCTCAGTCCCAATGCAGGCCTTGGAAGCTTCCTCTTCTCGTCGAAGCGGGTCGCCTTGATACCAATTCTGCGTATAAATCTAGTCTCTTGCAATTGCGGGTCAGCCGATGTCTGGGTAAGCTCTACATGTAGCCAGTAAGCCGTTCTCCATGTCTTCATTCTCACTTTTCCGCCTCTCAAGCTTGGATCACATCGGCAGGAAGAGGTTGATGCTCAAGCTTCGAGGCAGAATTGCTGCACCAACATCGATTGTCTCCAAGTATCTCCACGATAGTCAACTTGCAGCCATGCCTGGGTTTGCGTTGCGCGAGTGTTGTTGTGGGGCAATGATAAAGACAATCGCCGCATGGCCACTTTGTCTGGTCATAATCATCAATGGAATGGAACATGAGTGGTCTCGAATGTATGTCTTTACCTGTGATGGGTCATAATCTCTCTGCGCTTCACATTGAATAGAGTTTCCACTGATTAAAGCTTGGCGGTCAGGAATCTGGCTCTAACCGGAGTCAGGCTCCAGTTACAGATTGAGCAAACATGATCACCATCCAGGCTCTTACGAGACGGAGATATAGAAGAGAGGAAGTATTCCATACCGTGTCCATTCTAGATGCGGAGTAATTGCCGCATAGCCCGCGGAGATTGTATATTGGGACTAACCTGATCAAGGGGGCGTTGATTCTGCATGAGCAAGAAAGAGTGGTCAGGGGATCGGTTTACACCGTGACCGTAATAAGAATTAAACATAGTAATATACTCAAGGTCTCAGGCTATTCTGCCATTCGGCTGGATGTATTCATTTGCGAATCGTTGACAAGTACGGCAAAGCCAAGCTTTCGGTAAGTGGCAGTGAGTGCCGAACCACTTCCGCTGATGCTCTCCATACCTTTCTCCAACTCGCATACTTACGATGAACAGCGCCTCACACATGAACCATGTTCCTTCCTACACTTGGGGGCGATCAGCTGAGCTGTCCTCTCTCATGCTCTTCTGCAGCTTTTGCACTCTTTTACATCCCACCCAAAACAGCAGTGATCCACGGCTCAGGGGCTTGGCTTGAAACCGGGGTGGAGCAAACGTGTCGGATTGAAACTAGAGGCCTTGCTCAGACCACTTCTTCTCCACAAGGGACCAGCACCCTACTGCTGTTGCTGTATTCTCCCGGTAGGGCGGACTCCGTCTTGTCCTGAAACATCCTCTGACTCTCTCCTGTACTGTTTTTAGTGCGGGACGTTGTGAACTCGAAACACATTCATCCCACGTATGGCCATGAAGAGCCATTCTCGGACTAATCTCCGTGGTGGATGTGGCCCCTTTCATTCTAGAACTCCTACAGCTGTCGAGCGACATCATCCTATAAAGCCTGTTGTCAGTCGCTCGTTTTAATCGCTCAGTAACCTCGTGCAACCCTGCCAGCCACCACCTCAAATCATCCTACTCACCTCTCGTCACAATGCTTCGTCTCGAAACCCTCGCTGCCCTCGCCGTCCTCGGCCTGGCCAACGCTCAGTCTACCGTTGGCTTCGGTCCCTACTTCAGCCTGGGTCCTACTCAGAGCTGGATCCGCGAGGCCACGACCACTCTTGTGCTCCCCGAAGTTCCCAGCCCCGTCGCGGACCGTCTCGCCCTGTGGCCCGGCATGGGCACCAGCGGCGGTGATCTGATCCAGGCGCTTGCTGTTTCTTTCTCCGACCCCAATGCGTACGTCATGGAGACCGGTTAATCCTGGCCAAACCATTGGACACAATACTGACGGCATCTAGCAACTGCGGCGGTACCTCCGGCCAGTGGTGCATCTGGGCCAGCACCCTCGAGGGTAAGTCTTCCCGAGGTTATGATCGAGAGGGCCCTAACGATGAGCAGACACGCAGCTTGGTGGCACCCAAGTTCCGGCCAATGCCGGTGACAAGGTGACCATGGAATGTACGTTCACCTCTTCGTTCCCTGCACGATAGCCATTGACAATTCTCAGACAAGTACAACGATTCCACCTCCAAGTACGATCAGACCGTCTCTCTTAACGGCAAGGTCGTCTCGACTCTGTCGACCAGTACGTTCCTCAACCATTTCTCCCCAGTTGCCAATGCTAACACTTCACAGGCTCCGGCCAAGCTCAAGGCTGGGGCACCGCCGTCGAATGCCAGGACGATGCCTGCAAGAGCACTGCTCGCGCTCACCGTGAGTCCCCCCAGCCCTTTGCTCCCGCCCTTCCCGGAAGACATCTAACCATGAGAACAGAGTACATCGACACCACGATCGTCCTGAACGCCGCGGACAGCACCTTCGCCGGCACCCTGGCCACCAACGAGGTCACCTCCACCGGCCTTAAGACCTCCGACTCCAAGACCTTCACCGTCGAGACGATCAACGTCCAGGCCCACACCTATGATATCTAAGTGGGGCCATGAGCTGAGGTTGTATTTCTAGGATATGCTGGCGTGACTATGTCGAATAACAATTGAGCTCTGCGAGCGGTTGCGGAATCTGTGTAAATTATATATTATACGACAATGTAGAGAACTGTGGAAGTCAGTAAGAGACTGAGGTAGCGACTTTCTAGAAGCATGGAGAGTGACTGTCGAACTCTCGGCCGATTGGTTGGGGTCCCCGAGCTGTGGTCACTTGGCCGTTTGGCCCCTGGAACTATTTCAGGCCCGACACAGCCAGAGACTGCAGACAAGCGCACTTGCTGCCGGGTTATCTGGCGCCCGGAGTTGTCCCATGCATAATCAGTCGATTTCGAGAGTGGGCCAGATGGGTATGTTGTAAGAGAGCTGAAAGCTCGAAGAAGGTGCCAAGTGAAAGATGCAAGTTCGAACCGCTTGTGCATACTGCCCTTGAGCTCAGCTGAGCATCATCCCAATTTATATCTACTATCTTGTGCATCTCATCCTTGCAGGGGGCTCCTTACTTCAAGTGAAAGCTATCTTGATAAGTCTTCTAGGAGTTACGTTCCTAGCGTGCTACACAATAGAGGACTAGTGGATGGGAGAAAATCCAGCGGTCCTGATCTCAACTCAAGGGAGGATGTCAGAAGCAGCGACACTTGCAATTCGAAGAGGCTCATCTTCGGCCAGTCGATCATGTCGCCGCCGAGTTGAGCGCTTAACTCCATCGATGGCGGACGCGCTGAGAATGGGAGATTAACCAAATCGATTATCCAAATCAACTGACCAAATCGATTGACCAAATAGATGAAAGCGTTTTTGTGATGGGTTTCATATAGAACAAGGTTCACCCATGTCATTGTCAGCACTTACCATTTGTGCGACCGCGGATACCACGAATATATACTAATAGGCGGATATGACACTGTGACAATGACGTGGATGAAGTGCTCGGAGTATTTTCCATGCCAAAAGGGCGATTGGATCTCTGGGTCTGATTAGATTCCGATTTCGAAGTCATAACAAAAGTCGGGAGCGTGCTCATCAATGGCGGCAGGGCAAAAGGTGTGCTGCTGCATTGGATGTCATCATTGAGGATCCACCTATTATGAGCTGCTATTGTTGTGAGGCGACGAGCTAATCCCAATTCAGAAAGTCCGCAAATGCCCGATCGGGAGGTCACGGGGCTTATCCATGATCTTATCGCTTATCAGCTGACCATCCCCCAGCTTGTTTGTCCCCAACCTCCTCGGCTCCCTGTCTCTTCCTCTTCCACTTCAGTCACTCACTCTTTGTCCAATCGACCTGACTCCTACATTCAACATCGATTTGGGCTTCACCATGAAGCTCTCTCTCCTCCCCGCCCTTCTTGGGCCGGCCGGAGCTCTTCAATTGCCCCTGTTCCAAGCTTCTTCATCGCAGTCCGAGCTCTCGACGTCGAGCAAGCAGCTCATCGACTCTGAGCTGCTGCAGAAAGAAGTCAAAGCCGAGAACCTCCTCAAAAGAGCCGAGGAGCTCTACGAGATTGCAAAGCTCAGCGAGGAGGAATATCAGCACCCAACCCGTGTCATTGGCAGCAAAGGTGCGCACCTCACTCATCTCCGCTGCTCTGTGACTCACCTTCTAACCTTCAATCTGCTAGGTCACCTCGGAACCTTAGATTACATCCACTCCACCCTTGTCGAGCTCGGCGACTACTACACCATCACCAATCAATCCTTTCCTGCGGTGACCGGAAATGTCTTCGAGTCGCGCCTCGTCCTCGGCCACACGGTGCCCTCCTCAGCTACCCCGATGGGGCTGACGCCTCCCACAAAAGACAGGGAGCCTGTCTACGGTCCATTGGTGGCAGTCGCCAATCATGGATGCGAGTTCTCCGACTACCCCGGCAATCTTTCTGGTGCCATTGCATTCATTTCTCGGGGCACTTGTCCATTCGGAACCAAGTCCGACCTGGCCGGCAAAGCAGGCGCCATTGCGGCAGTGGTCTACAATAACGAGAAGGGCGATCTATCTGGGACTCTTGGCACTCCCACCCCAGACCATGTTGCCACTTTCGGCATCTCAGACAGTGATGCGGCACCTGTCCTGGAGCAGCTGAAGAAGGGCGAGAAGGTGGATGGTATTGCCTACATTGACGGTATTGTGGAGACAATCATCACTACAAATATTATCGCACAGACTGTCGAAGGAGATCACGATAATTGTGTCATGGCTGGAGCCCACACTGACAGTGTAGCCGAAGGTCCGGGTATCAATGACGACGGCTCTGGTACTCTGACTCTCTTGGAACTGGCAACAAAACTCACCCAGTTCAGCGTCAACAACTGCGTGCGTCTTGCTTGGTGGGCTGGAGAAGAAGAAGGTCTCCTGGGTAGTGATTACTATGTGGACCAACTGACTCCGGAGGAGAATCACAAGATTAGGGTTTCAGGCGATATGGACATGATGTGCTCACCAAACTATGCGTACCAGGTATACAACGCCACCAACGCCATCAATCCCGTGGGATCAGAGGAACTGCGCGACTTATTCACAGACTACTACGAGGCACACGACCTCAACTACACCTACATCCCCTTTGATGGCCGCAGTGACTACGACGCCTTCATCCGTCATGGCATTCCCGCCGGAGGCATTGCAACTGGCGCAGAAGGTGTCAAGACCAAGGAAGAGGAAGAGATGTTCGGTGGTAAGGCGGGAGATTGGTATGATCCCAACTACCATCAGATTGGAGATGACGTCTCAAATCTGGACCTTACTGCTTGGGAAATCAACACCAAGGTACGTATCGGTTTGTGTTTAGCTGCTCTTGCTTGCAACTGACGTCCTACAGCTTGTCGGTCACTTTATTGCAACATACGCGCGGTCGTTTGAGGGCTTCCCTGAGCGCACCGATGCTGATGTCAGCACTTTCTCCCACGAGCCGCGGAAATACCGCGGCCACCGCTTGCAAATGTGATCGATGATAGACCACAGATCTCTATCATTTTTGGCTAGATAGAGTCTTGTTCTGATGGTTTATTTTGAGTTACTTACTTGGTTAGATGAATAAATATTTTTTGGCACAATCTATATTTGGCACCGACAAGCTTTGTTTTGTTGACTTTAACTTTAGATACAGTTGCGAGGCGGCGCGCGTTAGAACACCCATCTCTCGACCTCCAGATTTCTATGCTTCCAATCTAAAAGACACTTGATAGGAAGTTACCAAGCAGCCCACAGTGGCAAACCAGGCCAGAGATCCGTTTCCACCCCGGCCATCTCCCCCGCATCAAACAACCCATACTCCTCGACATCCCGGGTCAGGAAATCCTGCATGAGCGGCTGATCCAGGACCATGTAAGCGGACCCTGCCGCTGCGCCTCCAGCATCGAAATGACCCGTGCTCGGGAGATTATCAGCCTGTCCCTTGGACCAAAGCACTGCCGGAAATGGAGATTGTGCCGAAGGGGAGGCGACGGACAGCGACAACCCCTGCTGCTTCGCCACCCGCGATGCGAACCGTCCGCTCCGCAGACAGTGCTGCGCCCGTACAAGATGGTGGAACAAGTCATCTGCGACGAGACTACCGTTCGCGACCAAGGATTTCAGCATCTCAATGACGGTCTCCACGGACGTGAGGTCCTCCGCTGTGCCACCTGGTAGCAGACTTGAGATGAGCAGAACCAGGGCGGCAGTGAAGATGTACTGGGCGAAGGCGTAGCCGTAGGTCGAGGAGGCGCCGTTCGTCCATTCGTTCGTGCAGAGGGTCAGAGTGTGGCGGGCGGAATGGATGCATGCGTCTTTGAGAGCGGCGAGGGTTGCAGGGATAGCGGGCTCGTTGGGGGTCAGGTTTGGCGAGAGATGATTGAGGAGGGTGAGGAGGATTGGGCGGATGGCCAGGATGACGCACTGTGTTAAATGGGTCAGCTTTCGGTTGGAACGGGAGATGGGGAGGAACAAGTTCCTACGTAGTTGAATTGGAGATGGACGAGAATGGTGCATTTGGGATTGTGCCTGGTGGTATGGAGGTGGAGGTGGTTGGGTAGGGACTGTGTCCACTCCTGCAGGTCAAGGAGGATCCTTTGCTCCCGCTGGAGGAACGTCTCGGTGAAGTTGCTACGGCTGTAGATCGTGCGCATGATTGTGCTGGAGATTCTGGCGAGTCTGACGAAAGCGGCTTGGTATGAGCTGTCCACGAGCTCGTTGTGGTAATTCTCGGAGTCGAGGTTCGTGGGCAGGTCAACGTGGATGGCTTCATCGTTGATCTGCACTGGCAGGCCTAATTTCAGGCTCCAGGACCGATCAAAGACGTAGATTGTCCACCACAAACGCACACGATGTTCTCGCGCAATCCGACCGGGGCATTGGGTGTCCGGGATGTTGTGGTTCAGACCGACGAGGAGTGCGAAGCGCAAGGCGTTGCCGACCATGAGGTAGGCGGAGTGCTGTCGGTTAAGGGACTGGCTATAGAGGGCCTGGAGGAGTCAGCACATAATGACAGAATACCCACGGAGACGAGGTTACCAAGATCAGAAGAGCCTCGATGTGAATGATGGTAGGTCGCTCCGGTGGCACGGAAATCAGACCGATGGCGCGAGCATAGTACGCCATCCCTGGCACCGTGCCCTTTTCTCCTCCATCATTGTGGAATGAGTAAACTTCTCCCAAGGCAAAAAGCGCAAAGTACTTGCACAGGAAGATCGCGTCATTGAAGAGACCTTGCTCGTAGATGTGTTGGAGGTGGTCGAGGGTGGATTTACGCAGGGCGAGATGAAAGGGTGGGTTTGCGTGGCCCAGCGCGGTGTTGACCAGCAACCGAGCACGGGCCAAACTGGGCCATTGGATCCCAGAATGGGCCACTTGGTTGAGGGTTGATTCTGGGATTAATCGCGTGCGGAGAATATGCGGCGTTGCGCTTTTGTTGCCGTCGAGGCATTGGCACAGACGCGTGGCAAAGCCCGTACATGCTGCCTCGCTAACATAAACGGGAAGTGCCAATCCCTCGTGAGTCTGGAACCACGGCCGGTCTTCAAGCAACGGATTCCGAGTCCTCGTGTCGCTTCTTTCCGTTGCAGAAAAAGGGTGCTGCTCTATGGTGGGAAGGACATGGCTTTGCGACCTCAGTCGGTGCTTACGCAGCTCTTCACTGTCTCGAATCAACTGTTCCAGATAGCTGGCGGCAGGTCAGCGCGGGACGGTTGCTGCATCGGTAGCAGCTGCCTACCTTTCGTCGATGCGCACTTTGCGGTCGCGGACGACATAACTGCATTCGTGCTCACATCCCGCCATGTGGCACCGCGAGCAGGGTCTCCCCCCCGAGCATTTGACTTTTTGAGCATGGCATCTTTGGCATCTGGTTCCTTCGTGTGGTTAGAGCGTGGAATTGAAGGTGGGGATGAGACTCACGCTACAGGTCTTTTGGTTCCTAGGGAGCTCCGCGCTTGCTGCAGTAACCCCTGCGATCTCTGTGCCGAGTTACCGGGCTGCATGACATGATGACGATGCCTGGTAAAAGGTACTGCTCTTCCACACGCACTCCACCAATATGCGGAGATTCTTCAAGGGGAAAAGTTTTCTATCGGCCAGATTTACGCCCACCGACGCTAGCTCTTTCCGATTGGTCTCGGAGAGGGAGAGAGAATCCGCTTGTGCTCGGCTTTCTCACATGACTGGCTATAGCACGATATGGGTGGGTCTTTCTCCCCAGTTTGGTCTAGCGTACGGTCAACTTTAAACTGGCCGAAATGCCCCCACGAGGCCTGCAGCAACTGGGCTCACATAAATTCCCGTCTATACCTCCTTGACGACCTCACTCCTGCCCTCCCTTTAGATTTTCCAGTCCTTTCCACTTTTCTTCAATCTGCCCCGTTGTGCGCATAAATTGGTCCTATACCCATTTACCCACCGAGCGACCAACCACCGCACCCAATGACCTCAACAACCACCAACGCATACACCCTCCGCCACCACCGGCCAGGAGACATGGGCTGGATTGTCCACCGCCACGGCGCGCTCTACGCACAAGAATACGGCTGGAGCGAGCGCTTCGAGGCCCTCGTCGCCGGCGTCACCGTCGACTTCATCGAGAACTACGACCCCGCCCGCGAACGCTGCTGGATCGCCGACGACCGCGATGGCCAATTCCTGGGCTGCGTCATGCTGGTCAATGACCGAAACTCCGATGACAATGCCGCCAAGCTCCGCTTATTGCTGGTGGAACCCAGCGCACGGGGTCTGGGCCTCGGACGAGCTTTGATTCATCAATGCACGGAGTTTGCGCGCGAGGCCGGGTATGCGCGCATTCGGCTGTGGACGAATAGTGTTCTTGTGTCGGCGCGGCGGCTGTATGAGAAGGAGGGGTATCGGCTTGTTTCGACGGAGGAGGATGAGAAGTTGGGGTTCAAGTCGACGGGGGAATTTTGGGAGTTGGTGCTTTAGGTTTCTTGGGTGGGATATAGATTGCGTTGGCATTGCGGCATTTAACTATACTTTTTCCTCTACTGCTTTTAGCCATAATTGAAGCGTGATTCTGAGACTGATAGCATAGTTTGGATGGCAATCAGCCGATGGCGTGGTTATATCGCAAACTGGTACATTTGAGTTCTAATGTCGCCACCGAAGTTGCCCATAGATAGCCTTCGCAGGCTCCTGTGCAAACATAGGCTTAGAAATTCTTTCGAAGTGCATGCTCGCTTTAACTGGGGTGTAGTCAATAGCATCAATTCTCTCTGCTACCAGAGAGCAAAGCTTTTCCAAGTGCTATGCGTTGCACCTATGTGCCTCGAAGTACTGGTCGGTGCATAATACATTACTTAGTATGCTAGATTCTACTATGTACCTTTCCCCAATGCGCAGTGCCGCGTTCGGACGCAACAAAGACTATTATGCTCATGACAAGAGGATACCCTAAGCACGATCTCTACCAGCTAACTCTAGCCCCCCGGCATATCTCACCGAGTAGGAGGTTGCCCATTAGCCTGTTTCATCAATGCCCTCGAAATTGAATAGACGAATCATATTGCTAGATAGCGAGATATTGAATATTCTGCCATAGGATAGAAGGCTGCCACGTAGCCAAGCTTGACCTACTTGAACCCTATTCCATTGAATGGTTGGACTTACTGGAACTGCGTATTTATCCAATGTAGAAGGCTGGCCCTTGCTGAGCATTATTCACCTGAGCTCTTTGGATTGAATCTTGTAACGATGCCATTCATTTGAATAGAACATCCGGTCGATTCACAGCTACTACTTTGGCTGTCATTGAATACTGCAGCTCAAGTTTTGGAGCCCTGCCTACCCAGATCCTCTTCCTGTCTCTCTTCCACTTCGTCTTCCTCCCCCAACTCTCCTTCCATCATGGACTTCCTCTCCACTCTCATTCTCGTTCCCAATTCTAATTACTCGTCTGCTTCCAATCCCTCTTTTGATCTTTCCCTTCCATGAAACATACATGAGCATCCTTGGAGATCATCCAAGTCCTTCGTCGCTCATTTAGTGTACTCTTTGATACATATGAATATGATTCTATCACGGAGTTCACATTTCTTTACCATGAAACCTTTCAGGATGACCTAATAAGTTATTGTAACTTGGTCGGTCTAGCTACCTTGGTGGATGTAAGTTCTCTTCCCTTAAGCATCATGCCTTTTTCCCGCCGATTCATCTATTTAGCCTTTGCGGCATAGGATTAGTGCCATGTGATATGCTAACTGATATCAGAAACTAGGTAGTTTGACTTTTACCATTTCTGAGCTTGAAATTTTCCGAAAGCTATTCGTGCGTTCGTCTCTGTTGAGCGTTCGTGCTGCCAACCTTGTGGTCGGAATGCCACTCAGACATGGATCGACGGCCTGTCTACATGACGGGTTCAAGTTATCTGCGGAAACCTGATCAGGGTCCACTCATCGACATGGGCCAGTGGGCCGCGATGACGATGACCATCGTCAGCCGAAGAAGTTTGCTGTAAGTAATCTTCTCTCTTGCAAAGATTGGGACTTGAGGATCATCGTGAGTGGCGCACCTTTACCCACAGGAAGCTATGCTAACTGTATTGCTGAGTTTAAAATGTTATGAATCAAGCGGATTGCCGAAGGGAGGAGAAAGAGGCGATGGATTATAATAAGCAAATAGCGATATTCTTCGATTTTAAAGACGGTGACACCAACCACCTTTCGGTCTAGGACAAGCACTCTGCTGTCCGCTGGGTCATTGGCCCCAAAATTGAATTCGAATCTATTATCGAGAGCAGTAATCTCCTATCTTTGGGGAACGCGCTTGGAGAAATGCTATCGATCGCCATGTCGCGCAGTAGCGGCTTTTACGAACGGCCGCCATCACCACCACCACCACTACTCACGTGTCCGCAAGTCATTCTTTCCAATCACATTTGACTGGGGACTAATGTTGAATGTGTTTAATAGAGCTCGACAATGATCACCAACTTATTTGCAAAGGCCGCAGCCACGGGGGGTAACCAGTCCCAGGACGGGGCTGGCCCCGTGGTGGACAGCTTGCTTGGAGCACGGACTTCGGTCCCCCCAACAGGCCATAGAGATATGGATGTGGGGCTCCTAGTCATCGGAGATGTACAAGACTCGCCAGCTACCCCCAAAACACCGAACAAAAGTGATGATAAGGTGACCTTGGGGAACGGGTCGACCACAAACCCACTGAATAGACGCCCACCCCCCGTTCCCGGGTCTATAAGCGTACCAATAAGGCAAGGCCTACCAAGGGAAAGACCCAGCAGTTGGAGACAGGTCTCCAACAGATTGATAAGATATTTCAGATTAAGACACGCGCTCCACCCGCTGCTCAGCCTCGTGCTGTTTTCTGACTGACCGCAACGAGGTAATCAACCAAGCTATTGGAAGATCGGCAGGTAGAGGCGAGAGGCCCCAAGTCAGCCCTACGCGAGACCATGGTAAAAGCGAAGCAATGCATTTGCCGTATGATTCTTTCTACCCTGAAGACCAGGAAAATTGGGATTGGGGGGTCATGATCCCCAGCAAGCCACGTCCGCGATCCAAATACGCTGAATCGTTGCGTCCTGATTGGATGAAGCGAGATGTCAATGAGGCACAGGTGAGTAAGTCAATCGTTGAAGATGTGGCGAATGACGAAGAAGAATTTTTCGACTGGTCCTCTTCACCACCAAGACCTGGAAGACGAGAGGCAGAGGAGGGACTGGAGAAAGAGAATATTGAAAGTGAGCTGCTGGACACGGATGAGTTTCCCCTACGTCGTCCCAATGAATCCCATGAGAAATATGTCTATCGAGTGCTTAACCTAGAACTGGACGATGTCGAGGCATAACAGACCATATTTAGATACCGACTCGAGGGCACTATCAGACATATCTGGACTCTAGCACGCCAAACCCCGGAAGAAAATGTGGTCTACCTTAGCTGACACATCGGAAGAGAAGATCGACCAAGTGATCAATAAGATTGAACGGGCAATTAGTCCAGTGGTACGGACAATATTTGCCGGTACAAGATGAAGTGCTTCTTCTGCCAATCATCATGAAGGAGGATCAGCTCAGAGGACTTTATCTGGACCTTGTCATGAATACCTAGGTTCAGGAAGACAATGGCCTTTACATTAGGTCTGCAGTGTCAGTTCCGAAGACGTGGGTGGATAGAAAGGAGCACACGCACACGCGGCCAGAAGGTGCTCATAAGCGAATATCGTCACACCGAGGTTTGGTTCGAGCTGGAAAGGAGAAGGCTATAGATTGATTATATGTATAATCGTGCGAGACCTGATCGACAACCAAACTTTCGGCTAGTTGCCCGGTTTCCAAAATCCACGGATCCGGAAATAAACATCGAAGATGCGAATTGGATGATAATCTTACTCGAGAACACCACGATTGTGATGGCGGAAAGTTTTGAACCTCCCTACGTTTACCCCAGTGATTTCCATGGCTCTAGTAGTAAGAGTTTCGCTGCTGATCTAGGGAAATTTACCATCTCAAGTGCCCATGAGCGTCTTAACAGGGCATTACCTATCTCTTAGCCTCTTGGCGGACGCCGTTGGGCAACGCATTGTGCAAACTGTCGGTGGCCGCTAGGTGTGTGGAACATCTTGCCGCGCCCACTACCAGGGCATAAATTCAAAAAGATGTGCGGCAGCTGTGACTATCGATACAAGAAGGATGGGTGCCTTCCCCAGATTTCCGGGAGCAAGAAGCGAAGGCAAAACGCATTGACAAGGAAGCGAGGTCCAAATGTATCAATGATGGACACGAAATTACTATGAGCTCCTTCGCAGCACACTCTCAAGAGGGTCACGAAAGTGAGTATACTTGTCTAGGATGCATGGGTTGATATATTCGAGATAATGAAGTGCCTCCACCGAATTGGCGGACCGACGGATCATTTGGAATGCCCAAGGTTAAGCCGAAGGTCGACAGACATTGTTCCAAATGTGGCAAGGCAATCCCGGAGAGTGTTCAGATCTACTGGAACCCACTCGAGCCAGATGAGAAGTCCGAGATGTGGTGCAGAAGCTGTTACCAGTATTGGGATAATCACAGCTCGGGTAAAATGGTTGCCCAGCAGAAAAAAGTGAAAGTCAGTCAAACGAAGCAAGAGACGACCGCGTGTGTGCATTGCGGTTGGGATCCGGCACATCCCGACGCAAACAAGAGTGCAAGGAATGGCCTACGATACAACACGACATTTGGGATTGTTCTCCGCCGCCTATTAGCCCTAATCTAGCATCTAGCACTAGAGACAGTGTTTAATACGCAAAGCTATACAACCTAGCATCAGACGAAATGCTTCAGTCTGGCAGTATTCTCACTTTGCATACGGCCAACCCGGTCAATCTTCCTTTGCCGTCAATGAAACTGCTTCAACTTCAGTGAATCCTTCATCGAGTATTTGCAATGAGTGGCACGGCCGACGCGTTAGAAGAAGATTTAAACCCCGATTTGCACAGGCCGGCAGATACAGGGCTATGCTGGCGAAACGAAAGCATCGTGTACTGCCTATAGTCTGGAGGCAGATTAAGATTTTGTCCGATTTCGAATGTGGATGCAGGGTAACTCGCCCGGAGAGGTAGACACTCACTGTCCAGGATGGAGTGGCATGACTATCCTGTCTCGAATGTCGCAAAGGTCTGCATGATGGTGCCAGGAAGACTATAAATATGCCGGCCGTCTCGGGCCTTATGCCTCAGGCCGCTCACCGCCCGCCACGCACGTTAATGGTTCCTCTCAGATAGTCTCATGTAGTCTGAATTCATCCATCATTCACGTCCTTGACAGAAAATACAAATGGGGTAATAACATCTTCCATGTAAGTATTTCATCAGTGCTTGAAGAGAGTCGCTAACATTGACAACAGTCTGCAGGCAATCAGAGCACGAAAGACCAAGATCGAGGGTGAACGTAGTCAAGGCTATGGGGCGAGGAAAGACCCGGGCTAAATGCGACAAATGCTATTGGGAAGACCTGACGATACGAGAAATTATCAAGGTAAAGCTTCCTTGCACTCAAGACGAGATGACGCGCAATACTAATCCAATGTTTGTCAACAGTCTGATCTTCTAGGCTCGCTTTCTGGACAGGAGGGTTCTGGCTGTCATCTCCGGCATCGAATATTGTCCAAAGATACAAAGCAAACGACAAAGGGGATCATGAAGGCGAGTTACTGTTCGCTTGCGGATAACGCGTTGCTAATTATCCATTGACCATAGTGCCCTGGACCCAGTGTGCTCTTCGTGAAACGAAACCACCGGCGAAGTCCAATTAATCAAACCTCGCCAATCGCTTAGACTACGATACACTACATACGTGGGCAGTGGAGCTTGTGTAGGCGACATTATCCGGTCTTGCAGATTGCTGGCAGTGCTTTCTGTTCCACAATCTCCATGCCAACCTCGGTGGACTTCGGGTATATTTCACCTTCCTTGAGCATAACTTGTTGAGCTAAGGCTAATCGAGGCTGTTTGGTCTCAGAACCATATATCAAGCAACCGAAGCGATATTACACGATGCGATCTTTGAGCGCTTTTCTTCGAGCTTGAGCCCACCGAGTCCATTATCGATGCTCAACGTCCTAATCTCATGCCTCCATCGATGCCGGTTCAGAGGATGTTGATGTACAATCATGGAACGTCGATCAGATCGCACACTCCGTGAAGAAAGTCACCAACTCGGTGGTGTAAATGGTGGAATACAGAGTCTCGACCTCGTCCGGCGCACTGGATGGTGCGGGTGCAGCGCTGGTCATAGGGGAGACGGTGGCGGACGATCTGGTGCTGACAATGGATGACGAGGTCGCCAAAGGGCTTCCGGATGACTGTGGAAGGGTGGCGGGAGCTGAGGAGCTCGAACGCGCTGATGTGGGCGGGAACAGAACCGGAGCACTCGACGCAGAGGGTATGAGATGTACCGACGTTGATGAGGTAGGCGTTGGGGTGTCACCCAGAGTCGAAGTGGGAGTGGGAGTGGGAGTGAGGGTGGAGACGATCAAAGATGTATACTCGGAAGTCGAGGTGCGAGTCAAAGTCTCCGGAACATACGAGGTCACTCGCGAGGTACAGGGGTCGAAAAAAAAGAGCTCGACGGCCAAAACACTGCTCGAGGCTGGCACCAATTCCAGTGACCCGGCAAGGATCCGGCAGGTTTCGCTGTCATCCCAGTTGACGCCCGCGCAGTTGCTGTAGTGGGTGCACGCATCGGTGCACGCGTCCACGCTGACCCAGGAGTAGGTCATCTTGGTGGTACTGGCACTGTAGGCGGAGGTAGTGCACGTGGCCGACCAGTAGTTTCCTGCATCATACCAGATGGTATTGGCACAACCCGTCGGAGCGACAGTACCCCAGGTGCAAGTGCTGGTGATGGAGACACTCGGGATGGAGGTGGTGATAGTCGTTACCGCGGTGCTGGTATAGCTCGATGTGAGGGTCACAACCGATGGACTGGCTCCACTCACCTGCAGTGCAGCGAGGAGAACCAAGGTCGAGCTCAAGAGTCGGACCATCTTGCAAAGAGACAATTGTCAGTGGGATGAAGAGATCTGGTTATCTTCAATTCCTTGCCAGAGGGGGAACTCAGGAGATCAAATAGTTCAAGCGGCCCAGTGTGGACCCTTTCTTCTTTCTATCGACACTCCTCCTTGTTGACCAGTAAGGATGGCTCATTTCAGTCAACCGTCGGCTGGATTGACCGCAATTGCGCTGGCAATGAAGGCGCACCCGCAAATAGCTTCCATTTAGTCGGTTCTAGTCAGGAGAACTGAGAGAAAAGAGAGAAACTAGCCGAGATTTGTGAAGCAATGCTTTTCCCACGTTTTGCCAGGGGTCCAAGCACCGGTGGCAGCCATGGCAGCTGTAAGTTGGGCCCGACCGGCCGTCCCCGAGTTATTTGTGATTGGGGTCCGGGTACTACGAGGCTGGATATACAGTACAATCCCAGGGTGTGGTCTTTCTTCTGTTGTACCGCATTCTCTCATCACGTTTGCACCACAATTTAATTATTGCCTGCCACGAAGTTTGGCCACGTGATGCCATGGCCATTCGAATACCTTCCACCAATCCGTGAAGTTCTCCCCATCAACAACAAGATCAGCAAATCGATTTCAAAACAATCTCTTCTATCTGAAAGATAAATCCCGCGGTATGTACAGAGGTTCTCGGTTTCAAGATACATGTACGATAAAGGCCTGTCCAGTCACCGATGTACCATGATCTGCCTGTCCTACTTACGGAATACCTACTATGCTAATCATTACAATGCTAAATACACAGATCGAATCGACTACATGGTCTTCACACACTACGCGACCGCAACGAAAAAGTTTGTCTCGCCCTCTTTCGCCTCAACCTGGCTCTTCTTCACCAAGTCATCTCCAACCAACAATCGCAGCCTCTCCGCTGTGGCCGGGCTATCGAGCGCCAATGCTGCCTGCACGCCATTCTGTTCACGAGCACTACGCAAGGCATCGCGGAGCGCAAACAATACGGTCGACCCCAAGAATAGAGGCGGTTCTCCAATACCTTTGCTTGACTGAATCGACCGCAGGTGGGACCACGACACACCCTGCAAGAAACTCACATTGAACTCCTGCGGGATGTCACTGAAGCCAGGGATCTTGTACGTCCCGGGGCCTCGCGTCGCCAGCTGCCCACTGCGGCTCCACAAACTCTCTTCCATAGTGAAGAGACCTTGACCCTGCACGAACGCCCCTTCGATTTGTCCATAGTCGATGGCCGGATTGATCGAGCGTCCAACATCCATTTTGATGTCCGTCCGCAGCACCGTATGATCACCCGTCAGCAGATCCATCTCGACTTCGGTGCATGCTACACCCTGCGTGAAATAGTAGTACATTGGCTTCACGGTCTCAACATCATAGTTTCCCCACTGATACCCGATTTTAGGCATCTTCCAGAATCCGCTGGCCGCTAAGTTGACTCGATCGCGATACGCGGCGTGCGCCATCTGTGCCATCGTCGCGTCAGGACCGAATTGCTCCCGGTACGGCTTTAGCCGTTCGTTCAGCTGATCGCAGGCATCCTGAATCGCCATTCCATTCAGATCGCTGCCAGAGGACGCGGCTGTTGGTGAGGCATTGGCTGTCTGGTAAGACGAGGTGTCTTGCGTAAACACACTCTCGAATGGGACTCCCAGCGCCTGCGCCGCGACTTGGGCCATCTTCGTGTACAGCCCTTGGCCCATTTCTGTTCCACCGTGGTTAAGCAGTACTGATCCATCTGTATAGATCTTGACCGATGCAGCAGCTTGATTCAGATGCAAAGCTGTGGCGAATGATATCCCGAACTTGCTCGGAATCAAGCAGATACCCCGTTTGCGCCAGCGATGTGTGGCATTGAACCTTACAATTTGCTCTCTCCGCTCGTCATATCTGGCCTCTTTGCGCACCTGTTCTAAGAGCATCGGCACATGCCAATCTTCGTCAATCTGCTGTAGGAAGGGCGTCCGCTGCCCGATAGTGTACAGGTTACGTCTCCGCAGCTCATCCACGGGAATTTTTAGCCCCTCAGCAATCGCATTCATGATCGTCTCGGTGAAGAACATGCTCTGAGGAGCACCAAACCCACGGAAGGCCGTATTGCTATGGGTATTGGTTCGACACACCCATCCCCGGATATGCACATTCGGGATCTCATAACAATTGTCCAAATGCGTGCAGCAGCGGTCCATCACCGCCCCGCTCATGTCAGTGGACCAGCCTGCATTGTTGTAACAGTCGGCAGATAACGCGATAAGCTTTCCTTCATTGGTGACACCAACCTTCCAGCGACACTGAACCGGATGTCGCTGTCCGGTAGTCATCATGTCCTCATCTCGGGGAAGCATCGCACGCACCGGTCGGCGGGCTTTCTTGGCTGCGATGGCTACCAGGCAAGCTAGCTGCACGCTTCGCGATTCTTTGCCTCCAAAAGCGCCACCCATCCGTTTGACTCGTGCGTTGATGCGGTTAGCGGGAACTCCTGTTACTTGACTGACGAAGTCTTGGGTTTCCATACTACAGGAACGTTAGCATGCTTAGCGGACAGTTTGCGCAATGGTGTGGGCTGGAGAACATACGTGTTCTGCGTTGATGACCAGATTTCCATTCCACCATCTTCCGTACTCGGGATCGCCATGGCAGCATTCGTCTCAAGGTAGAAATGCTCCTGTCCGCCTATCCGTGTTACACCCGAAAAGGTTCGGTCGCATCTGCGAAATACTGCGTCCATTTCCGCCGGCGGCGCACCTTTGCGCAGTTCCTTGCCGTGTGGGAAGAAACTCTTCGCTGTGATTGCGTCATCGATGGTGAGAATAGCCGGAAGATCTTCATATTCGATCTTTACGGCTTTTGCAGCTGCCTGGGCCAGGATAGCCGTCTCGGCATACACCATCCCGATAGGCTGACCGTGCGACAGTACCTCATCGATCGCAAAGAAAGGTTCATCGTGCACAACTGATCCCCACAGGTTCTTCTCGATCGGGATGCTCGTGTGATCGATGTAGCCGGTCGCTAGTCCTGGCGCAAGAGCAGGTGTCCAGTCAACGGATACAAGTTTGGCATGCGCACGTTGCGAGAGAACCAATGCTCCAAATAGTTGTCGGTGTTGGGGTGGCATATCATCGAGGTATTCTGCCTCGCCGGTGGTATGTTTGAGCCCGGACAGGTGAGGGAGTGCCTTCCCCACTACCCGTTGCTCGTGCGGATTAATATCATCTCGGGTACCGTAAGAGATCTTGCGGTGGATCTCGTCTGTCAGATCGGAGGGCATAGGAGCGGCGAGTTGATATTCTGCTATAACTTCGTGCCAGAAGCGGAAGAAGAATGAAACAGCCAGTGTCCGGCGGTAAGTTGCCATCCCACCCGGAACGCTGAATACAAGATCAAAGTCCGCGAGAAGCGCATCCACCGTCGCATCAAGAACGGCCTGCGTTCCCCATTTCTTGCCCTTGAGGGTAGCACTAGCTTTGTGGGCAAGCACGGTGGTCGGTGCCATCCCGCCGTACGCGAGAGAAGCATTTTCAACAGTGTTGTCGCTTGCCAAGCGGACGCGGAAGGCGGCAGTCACGATGGCGATATCATCATCTTTTCGCTTAGCTTGCTTGTATGATTTCGTGATCTCGCGACACCCCGAAGACGGCAGCGGAATGCGGATTTCAGTGATTAGACTGCCCTTTGGCAGGGCGGTCTTGCGATATCCCAGAAACATTTTCTCCATGGCCAGGGCTTGCTCCTCCTCATGGGCGCGCACAACAACTGTGGCGTTCACTGCGAGAAGTAGCGGGTTCATGTCTGAGATGGGAGAGGCCGTCGCAATGTTTCCCGCTAGTGAGGCTGCGTTGCGGATCTGTCGCCCAGCAAAGTACCGGAGCACCTTAGCCATGGCCGATAGTACTGAGCCGGAAGAACCCAGGATTGGAGCAAGGCGCTGGCATTCTTCCTCCACATCAGTGAGAGAAGCATTCCCACCAATTATCAGCTCCTTTGCACCACTGTCGTGTTCAACCAGGTTGATTTGAGCTAGCTCTTCGATGTCTCCGATAAAGATCGATACGTCGGCTGCAAGGTTTTTGAAGCGAACATCAATCTGAACCTCCGAAGCACCGCCAACCAGCGTGGCAGATGGAAAGCACGCCAAGAGATCTACAGTCTGCTGAAGGGTGACCGGACGAAGCCATATTCTCCGATCGTCTGCATAATATAGCAACTGAGGGGTAAAGTTCGCCAGACCAGGAGGGTAGATCAGCTCCGTCTGTGGCACATACGGAATGAAGTCGAATTGTGGAATTGCTGGAGTTTTCTCCTCTGGCGTGGTCAACGGAGACGAATTGGCCTTATCTGAGCTCGATGAGCATGAGGACGATGAAGGGCTATCGCGACAACATCCGCCAGGTCGCCCGCATGATTGGGCCGGAAGTACCGGCAAATCGACGGTTTCGTCTGTCTTATCCGTGGTAGTGGAAACCACAGACTGCAGGCGCGCCTGGAGGTCCTCACGAACAAATGTCTTGGCCGCCTGAAGAATTGGTTTGTATCCAGTACACCGACACAGGTTTCCATCGAGATGGCCCTTCATTTCAATATCATCTTCGGACAGCAGGAAGGTACCGGTCCGCGGGTCGTATGCGTTGCGGATGACAGCATATAGTGACATAACGATGCCGGGGGTACAGAACCCGCACCTGCAATGATTAGATCATAGCCAAACAAATGCGGAAACAGCCTTACTGGGAGCCATGGAGCTTCGCCAGACGCTCTTGCAAAGGATGCGGGTGTTCAACACTTCCTAAACCCTCGACGGTAATAACATGCTTTCCTACCACTGCAGCATTCCACGGAACGGTCAGTACGACCCATGGCTGAAACTCAAGCTGGAGTACGCCTACCTCCGACCAGCGGATACAGACAGGCATTGACTGCCCTATGGACTAGCCGTCGGCTGCAAGGATGTCGTGTCTGCAGCACCACTGTACAGGCACCACAGCCGCCCTCGCCACAGCCCAGCTTCGTTCCAGTGAGTCCATCTTGGGCTCGGATGAAGTCCAGCAGCGTCCACTGAGGATTTGGATCGCGGAGAGCGATTTGCGTCCCGTTTAGATAAAAGATAAGGGTGGAGGTGGCATTGGAAGAGACAAGGTAGTCATAAAGAGGATGAGACGCATTCATGATTGCATCAGACTCATATTCGACAACGGCCGACAAAAATCAGGAATGAAGCTGGGGAGGACGGAGGGGGGGAGAAGAAAAGCAGTTGTCCTACACGTGATGCTGCAAGCTGCCCCCAATCAAAAGACGCAAAATACGAAGCAGGAATGCCCAAAAGACATGGATCACCGACAGCTACCAAAGTACAGTACTCCGTACGTGGACGTGGGATCTACATCATCGTGCATAACCCCGCTGCAAAGGGTGGGAGGGCAAGAGTGGGGGATTCTTTGACACACAAGTGGATGATAACAATCGTGGCCAGGCTAGTCAGTCAAGATAGAGCTACGGCGGCAGATTGATTCACTTCAATGGGTAGCTTCATTGTTGGGTTTAACTGATAGGGAATTGATAGCTATCCCTCCACCAACCCTGTCAGCACCTTCATCGCCTCATGCACCACCGTCCAGCGAACCGTGGCCAATTGCTGTGCCATTGACCGAATCAACCCACGCATATCATACTGATATCGGGGCCCCTCATTGACTCGCTCTCCGGTCAAAGACACGAGCAGACTTGCCAGATCGAGACTCACCCGCTGCCCTCCAAGCTCGTGCACTCCTCCTCCATGCACAGCCCAACAGGATAATGTTCCTAAGTACAAACACCACGGGAAATGGAACGCGTCCATAGCCTCCCAGTTGCCCTGACGGCCGGAAACAGCCTCCCGAACCATCCACGCCGCCTGTTTCGCCGCCTGCATCGCAGACTCCGAGCGAATCCAGTGGCTCAACGCCCGAGCCGACCGGTCGCGATCAGTCTGCGTGACCATCCGACCAAGAATACTGGTCGCGCCCGCCCCGATCTGGAGATCCAGGACTTCGGCTTGAAGAGCCAGTTGCGCTGCCCGATACAGCACCAGCGCCGCGCTATGTAAGACGCCCGCGCTGTCCGACGACCCGAGTTGACTCTCGCCCAGCTTCATCGCCAGTCCATCCGCATCAAAATCTGCCTTCCATAACTCGTACGAACGGCCCATGCGACGGGTCCAGCTTCCCACGCGATCCGGATCCTCGCCGCGGAGGGTCGTTTGATCCCGACGTTTGAGATCCGCCGACACGGACATCAGGCCGTGCAGGACCACCAGTCGCGCGAGCGGATTCAATTGTCGCGGTCGCGGAACCGCGGCGGGCGTGATATAGCCTTTCAAGACGGTCAGAAACAAGGGCTCGGAGTCGGGGCTCGAGGCAAAGCTTCTAGCCCAGGCTTCTGCGGTCGGAGCGTTCCAGAGCGCCGACGCGCAGGGTAAAGCGGCACGGATCTCGAAAGCGGACATGCAAAGTGATTGCGAGAAGAGGACCGCATGCTGCACATCCCACATAAAGCAATGCATGGCTAGTCGCTTCCGCTGTTCCGCCTCCATGGCTTGGTGCCAGCTGTTCACGAGGTCCTCGTCGGATAACGCGGGGGACGCGGTCGAGCGGATCGTGCAGCAGGTGCTGCGCCGAATGAGCTTAATCAGCACGCAGTGGAAGAGCTGCGCTCGTTCGCGTTGCTTGGGGCCTGCCCGCATTTTGCCGAAGCAGTCGATCAACAACATCGCTTGCAGAATCCATAAGGGCGGTTGCGGTGAGAAATCGAGATGGCAGAAGAGCTGGGGTCGCAAGAAATCATGGATCCCCACGGCCAGCTGGTGAGCCTCGCGGCTGCTGTAGGTGGCGCCCATGGAGAGGATCGCGCCCAGGAGAATGGGGTCAACTGTGTTGGGATCGAAGGTGGGCGCGTGGATCAGTGGATAGGTCGCATTGAACCGCGTAAAGAAGAGATCGCAGTACTGCTGGAGCGCTGACAGAGAGAGCAGGGCTGAGTCGAGGGGCGTGGGCTTGCCATCCAATCCCGACGGCGGATTACGAGCCACCAAGTCGAGTAGACCTTGACGCGCCTCATCTGAGAGACATGGGAGCTGAAGTGCTGAAGGGTTGTCTGTGGTTGTGTCCAGTCCACACAGCCAGTCAAGGGAGGTATCCGGGCTGCGCTCGACAAACGAGGCTGCCTGCAGCAGAACGGCCGATGGATCAGGGTCTGGAACGGTCCAGGCCAGCAAGTCTGGTTCTAGCGGTATATCGAGGGGAGGGAAAGCGTCGTCCAGAGAAGCCACATCAAACAGCCAGTTGTAGTTGTTCGTCGCGGCAAACGGCATGTTGAAGTCGGTCGCTGTTTGATCTTAGCATTGACTTGCACGGCGGGAGAGGAGCTCATACCTGTATCGAGATTGAAGAAATCCTCGATCGACCCTTGGTCAAAGCTCCAAGATCCATCGGCTGCATCGAACTGTCCCGGTATAGGCTCAACGTACGGCTCGAAGGGTCCATTGGGAAGCATGGGCGCTAGCAGCGGATCTGTATCATCCAAGGACAGCGTTGTCGGATCACTCGTCGAGCGAGGCGGTGATACAGGCGCCCCGGGGATTGGGTCCGACTCGTGAGAGCTGGTAACAGACAATGCACACGAGGAGGCCGATGACAGCTCCATCGAAGCGACGGACTCCGAAGCAGAGCACTCGGGCATATTGTTTCTAGGAGCGCTGCCCCGAGACTGTCGCTTCGGCGGTCGGACAACGATATTACCATTATCAGCCCGGCGCGTCCTCTTGCGCGTCTCCAGCACTCCCAGCCCCGGTCCTCCAGCTTCTTCATCCCGCTTGGCATGGCGGAGGAGATGGCGACTGAGAAGATCTGGGCGGTGGAAATGCACCGAGCATCGCTCGCAGACGTAGCCCTGACGGGCTTGCTCGTGGTTCAAAGCATGGCGTCGCAGATGTTCAGCACGCGTGAAACTTTTGCCGCAGTCGGGCCAGTGGCAGACGTGGGACTTCATGAGGGGCCATTATCAGCCGGAAGGAAAGCAGACACAAAGGAGACGTGACGAGATCGCCGCCCACCCCCCAACTCTGAGAACATTAAATACCTAGCGAGGTTGTATGCATGGGTGCATGCATGCACGATGGCGCATTGATAAGCGGGGAAGAGAGGGGGTGGCGCTACGCGAATGACAGCCAGCGGATCCTCCCTCCTTATCAGCATAGATACGGAGAGACGGGGTTTGATATCAAGTTCGATAACCAAGTTGACTACGGAGTACCAAGGCTACTTTATCTACTGCCAGACTATAGAAAATAGCGCCATTCTGGACTCCGCTCTCCTTCGGCCAAATGCCGAGTCTCCACGGCCTCTGCTCGCCGTCGCACGCCTTGGCTTCGGTCTCGTCGCCGATTCTCAAGTCTGAAATACACGCTTAAGGCAGTTATCACCACAATGGCCACCCCGTTACAGCAACATGTCGCTACGAGAGTAGGGGTATATCTATAATGATTAGCTCGGTACTGCTGAAGATGCAGGGGAACTTACTTAGGTGCATATTCTGTGCGGAAAGTTGCTGCACTCAGCACTCCGGCCAGATTTCCCAACCCAACCAAGAAGCCTGTATTGGCTGCGCGGGAGCTTTCGTGCACGTTATTGTTGTTGTGCCAGGCATGGACCAGACACGAGGGGATGTAGGCCCCGGCTGCCATAAGGAAGCAGGCAAAGTACGCCACACCTTTGTTGTCTAGCACGTCGATGGTCGCCAGAACGACCATCCCAATCAGCGACAGGACCAATGAGAAGACCGTGTGGAATCCTCGCTCGCGAAAGTAGTCGGATGACCATGCGACGCAGAGAAGCACGACGGCGCCTACTAGATTCGGGGCGACTGTCCAGAGGTTGGTCTTGACTGTCGAATAGCCGAGGCGTCCGACGATCTGCACAGTTAGTGTCATTTCTGGGGTTCGTGAGGTTGTGGCTTACCAAAGGAAAGAAGTTCATGGCTGTCGCATAAGCTACCGGATACGTGAAGGAGATCACACACCAGACCAGGAATTTCCAGTCCGAGAACATCTGGAACGCAGTCTTGAGATTCAAGCCCGTCTCAACCTCAGCCGAGGTGTCGCGTAGGATTCGGGCAGTTGCAGCTGCTCGTTCTCGCTCCGACAAGAACCAGGCTTTTTGAGGTCCGTCAGGCAGCAAGAAGAACGAGAGAATACCCGTCAAAAAAGTCATGCTGCCTTCAATGATGAACAGCCACTGCCACCCTTTGACGGCGGGGTCGTTGATCTGAAACACCCCGAACGAGATGAGTCCGCTGAATGCCGAAGCAAGTACGGCAAAACATTGAATGATGGCCAGACGGAAGCCCATCTGGTCGCGGGTGTAGAACAGAGTTAGGTAGAAGGTTGCACCAGCGAAGAAGCCTGCTTCAAAGACACTGAAACGATCAGCAGCTAGACCTGCATGTTTGGATCGGTCGCTTACCCCAAGATCATCCGCACAGCGATCATGCTGCCGAAGCTCTTCACGGCACATTGACACAGAGCTAGGATTCCCCATACGACGGTCACTTTCGGGGTTAGCTTAAATCTGGATCGTACCAGGAAAGAACCTACTAAACGACAGCGTGATGCGACCGGAGTAGCGCTTGAGGAGGAGATTCCATGGCAGGTCGAAAAGCCCAAAGGGGATGTAGAAGAGGAGCACGAGCAGCGAATAATCATTCCCCTTGAGATGAATATCCTCGTCGAGTCCGTCGGTTTTGGCATTGGCCAGGTTGCTCTGCTGCGGTTAACATCTCCTCTTATTTGACATGAGGGTTGGCCTTACCCGATCCATGCAATCGAAGAAGTACATCTATCAAGTTCAGTGTCTTGCAATTGAGGTATGATGGGGTACATGCTCACCAGACATAGCAAGGGCAACACAAACAGATCCACCTTCCGCACTGCGACCGGTTAGGGCTGGTCTCGCAGCGCAGCGATCGACATACCAACTGATTTCTCGGCTTCATGGTCAATGTAGACCTCATTCTCGCCGGGCTTCATCTCGGACTCTGATGGTAGAGGCGCACCCTTCTCGGCCTTGTCGATGGATGACATGATGCTGGCAATGGGAGTTACACCACGCCCCCTCGCGAGGGCTGGGACGAGGCGGCGAGGTGATATATCCAATAGTGGTATCTCCCTTGCATCTGTGGTGCAACCCACCCTGCCTATCGATATCCTTTCTCATAACCGACTATTCCCATTTCGACTTTCCCCGCATCCATGTTATCAGTCTTATCGTAGAAGCTGGTCTGGGCTCGTTAATCCCCATTCTTCGCCGTCCCCCACTCTTGTCCGCTGCTGAACTGCTTGCGTCGAACTCCTCGGTATTCGTTCCGAGCATCATCCACAATAGTGACCCCTCAATGGGCGATAAAGCCCGCGATAAAGGATATATTCACTGGACAATGGCAATCGACCCCTCACTCATCCAAGCTCGTGTTTTCCAGCCCAGTCAGCAAGATGTCTCCCAGCGCCCCTCCAATCCTTGATTTCTCCGTGTTCTACGGCGGCGATAGCGCTGCAAAGGCACAGCTCGTCGAACAGATCCGCGAATGCTGTCTGTACAATGGCTTCTTCCAGATCACGGGCCACCGCGTACCGCGCGAGCTCCAGCAGCGCGTCATGGCCTGCACGAAACGATTCTTTGATCTCCCTCTCGAGGAAAAGGTTCTGGTTGACAAGAGTACGTGCGCCCACTGATCACAGCTTATTTGTTTCCCGCGCTAATGCAGAGTTTCGGTAGATCACAACACCTGGAACCGTGGCTACGAATTGCTCCGATCGCAGATGCTCGAAGTCGGCACCGGGCCCGAATTGAAGGAGGGATACTATGTGGGCGAGGAGATTCCCGAGGACCATCCCTACTTCGTGCAGAAGAAGCTCAACAGCGGCCCCAACCAGTGGCCGCCCACCGTCCCGGACAAAGAGGAGTTCAAACGCACGACCATGGAATACTACCACGCGGTGTTTGATCTGGCCAAGAACGTGCTGGGCGCATTGGCGCTGACGCTCGACGTGTCGGAAGACTACTTCGATTCCTTGACCGACGGGGCGGTCGCCACGATGCGATACCTGCACTACCCGGCCCAGCCGAAGGACGCGGACGAAAAGCTGAACCGGGGGATTGGCGCACACACCGACTTTGGTTGTATTACACTCTTGCTGCAGGATGAGGTGGACGGGCTGCAAGTTCTCGACGCGCCGACCGGCGAATGGCTGGATGTAAGTTTCTTGCTTGTGTCTTGTCAGGGGTGTGAGGAGATACTAACGGGAGAAGGTCGAACCCGTGCCCGGAGCCTACGTCGTCAACCTGGGCAACCTGTTCATGCGCATGGCCAACGACCGGTACAAATCCAACATCCACCGGGTGATCAACAAGTCCGGCAAGGAGCGGTACAGCATTCCTTTCTTCTTCAGCGGGAACCCGGATTACCTGTGCGAGTGTCTGCCCAACTGCCGGCAGCTGGGCGAGGACCCCAAGTACCCCCCGATCACGGTCGAGGAGATGGTGACGGCGTCGTACAAAGAGAGTTACGGTAGAGCGGAGAAGTACAAGCAGGAGATGAAGGCGAAGATGGAGGTGACGCCGCCAATGGCGGCTGTCGGGGCGTAGTTCATGTCTAGATTGAGTTGTACATATGAGCCTTTATCAATTCACCCAGTTCAACCCATGTCGCTTTACAGTACTCTTCCGTCCGGATTTCTTCTTGGGTGGTTCGCCACAGCTCAAACACCTACATCCCATCCTGCCAATCAGATGGAGAACTGGGTAATAAGGGGGCCTACTATACTGCCTTCAGGAGTGGAGGCATGATATCAACCCCCCACCCTTGGATATGCCGATAAGATTCCCGTGGTTGTTGCTGCGTAATGCGGAGGTGGTCCATGCACCGCCAGCCCTAACTCAGTTCGTATAGTATTTGAGACAGTACAGGACAGTCGTCGACGCTCCAAGACGTGATACGTGATCATACCGCCGATTGTCCCGAGAGATCTGAAGACAGCATCATGGACGACGTCCAACGAACCCCTCCCGAGAACGAGAGCCAGAGCATCAAGCCGGAGAAAGACACTGCAGACGTGATCCGAGAGACTCACCATGACAACGACGACCACAGCCTCGGGGCCGAGACGAAGGGCGTGATCTTCGACGACCCCGACGTGCAGCAGTTCTACGGCACGTCCACGACGGAAGCGTATCGCCTCAAGTCAGAACTCATCGGGCGATGCATGGAGGAGATAGGGATGGGGCGGTATGCTGCTCCCTCGTTCATCGTCCGACAGCATCACTAACGTGCACAGCTTCCAATGGAAACTCTTCGTGGTCACGGGGTTTGGATGGATAGTGGATAATGTACGTCTCCTTTGGGTCCAGCATCCTGGACAAACTGACCAGCCAGTTCGCATCCCAAGGCATCAGCGCTGTGCAGCCACCCATCGAGCTCGAATTCCCCGGCATCGTGCAGGTCAGCTACAGCTCCGTCGCCTACTACATCGGCCTGATCCTGGGGGCCTCCTTCTGGGGCATTTCCAGCGACCTCATCGGCCGCAAGCCCGCGTTCAACTGCACGTTGCTCATTGCCGGGATTTTTCTCTGCGGTGCAGCGGGGACGATGAACTTCGTGGGGTTCAGCGCGATGTGGGCGATGGTCGGGACGGCGGCCGGGGGGAATGTGCCGGTGGATAGTATGATCTTTCTGGAGTTTGTGCCGGGGAGGTGAGTTTCCCAGTTCTGGCGGCGATATGCGGTGGGGATAGGGGGCTAACAGGACAGTCATCAATGGCTGCTGACTGCGCTCTCTGCGTGGTGGAATCTGGGCCAGCTGATCGTTTCGCTGGTGGCGTGGGTGTTTCTGGCGAATTTCAGCTGCGCGGCGGATTCGACCCCGGAGACGTGTCGTCGGGGGGATAATATGGGGTGGTGAGTTCCTGCCCAAGATAGAGAGAGAGCTGGGAGGGGGATAATGCTCACGCAGTCTCAATGCAGGAGGTACACCCTCATAACCCTGGGCAGTCTCTCGCTCGCCTTCACACTCATCCGCACCTTCGTGTTTAAACTGCCCGAAACACCCCGATACCTCCTCTCCAAGGGCCGCGACCAAGCCGCCGTGGACGCCGTCAACCACGTCGCGAAGGAGAACGGCAAGCCGCCCCCGTTGACCCTGAGCATGCTGCAGGACATCGACGTCCGACTGGGCATCCCGTCCACGACGTCGTCCGCCCTCTCGACGACTGAGATCCTGCGCGAGAACATGAAAGACTTCAAGGGCGAGCACTATCGCGCGCTCTTCGCCACCAGACCATTGACCAGACACACCGTGATCATCTGGGGGATATGGTTGACCATCGGTTCGTCTGCCCTTACCATCAGTCCCACCCCCTCCCCCCAAACTATACTAATACCTCAGGAAAAAAGGAATCGCCTATCCCCTCTACTTCAACTTCCTCCCCTCCTACCTAGCCACGAAGTTCACCTCATCGGCAAGCCTAACAACCACCTACCGCAACTACTGCATCGAATCCGCCGTCGGCGTCGTCGGCCCCCTGTCCGCGGCATACCTGGTCACCACGATCTTCGGCCGCCGATGGATGATGGGCCTCTCGTCCATCATCACGGGAGTGTTCCTGTTCGCCTACGTGGGCGTCAGCAACCGCACTTCCTCGTTGGCGTTCGCGTGCGTGACGGGCATGCTGGGGAATTTCGGTAGGCCTGCGTTTCCCTTTCCAGCCCCAAAGCATAACCCAGCTTATCCCAGCTGAACCCAACACCCACGTGTAACACTCAAACTAATGATCGGGTTCTGCAGAGTATGCGATCATGTACGCCTTCACTCCGGAATCCTTCCCCGCGCCGCACCGCGGCACCGGCACCGGCACGGCGGCCAGCCTGCTGCGGTTCGGCGGGCTGTGCGCCAGCCTCATCGCCTCGCAGACGGGCTTCACCACCGCGCCCATCTATGCCTCGGCGGCGCTGTGGGTGGTGGTCGGGGTCGTGTGTTGGGGGTTGCCGTTTGAGACGGCGGGGCATGGGTCGATCTAGCTTGCCTTTTCTTGCTTGTTGATGGGATAGGGGGGAAACTTGGGGAACGAGGGAAAAACAGAAAAGGGGAAGGGGAAGGGTTCTCCGAGGTCCGGGTTATGCGGATGAGTTTGTGTTGTGCATCATGTGTATTGTAGTGGGTGAGTTTTATGCACGGGCGAGGACTGGTGATCCGCTGGTATGTGTTTTTGTTTGATCTGTTTGGTGAGAATCGCCTAGGCGGAGTTAGTCTGCGAACCGCAAGATGGAACCCGTGACTTTACCAGGGCCTCAGGCCGTCAGAGCGTGATGTCCGTTGATTGGCTGCTTCCTGTTCCAAATTTAGTGGCTTGGTTGGCTCCTTAATACTGCCACGTGACTTTGCCTTTTCTGCTCAGTATTAGGGAAGGCCCCGCTGCATATTCAGGTTGTAGGTCTAGCTCAATACATTAGGGGTTCATCGGCTCTAAGAAAATGTCTTGAAGGGTGTTTAGCAAGGTGTTAAATGTACTACATGCAGTGAGATATATGTGAAAGCCGATGGTTGCGTTTCTTGTTACCTTCTGTGTGGGAGGTTGAGTATTTGGAGAATGTCACGTGACGTTCACAGAAAAAGTGCTCTGACAGTCATATGAAGAGTGGTAAAAATGGCTCTATTGAGATATTAAAGAGTGTTTAAAGTGGCTCTATTGAGATATTAAGGGGCGGTTAAAGAGTGCTCAAAGAGTCTTTAGACAAGACGCTTAGAACAGGACTTAGGAAGATGCAAGTACGGGCCTTGGTGCAGTGGTACACTGGGCCGACAACGCCTCTGACCAGCGGGCGTCAGCTGTAGACAGGCCCTCGTTAAAACTTTATGCTGGCACGTTGACTCTGAAATTGCGAGTTCTGATATCTAAGGTCAATTGGTCAAAACGAGAGTCACTTTATCTATGACAGTGTGCTGTTCGATCAAAATCAACCATTCACGCCGTTCGCT